AAGACCAAAGTAGAGTAAAAGACAAAAAGATAAATACTAGAAGGTAGGTGAAAAATCCCTAGACATTAGAGTAAGAAGACCTATCTTATATCTAATCAGAGTTTCCAGACAGAATTGGTAAAGGAATACTCCTAGAGATGCAGGTTGAAAAATTTCCAGACTGATGAAAGATAAGAATGCTCAGATTAAGATTTCCAAATCCCACGCTGGATAAATTAGACTTCCACACTGAGACAAAGTGTAGTGCATTTACAGAAGGGCAAAGAAAAGAAGAACCTAAAAGAAGCTAAAAAGAAAGGCGAGTAGATACAAAGTACTGGCAGTTTTACAAACAGCTGAATTCTCAACAACAGTGGTACTGGCCATAAGACACGGAAATCACACCTTCAAAATCTGAGAAAACCTAGTACTGAGTACCCAAGAGAATTCTCACTTAGAAGAAAAGGGGTGAAATAAAACTTTTCAAACAAAAATAATTTGCTACTAACAGACTCAGTTGAAGGACTCTAAAGTCTTTATGTCACACACACAAAAAGAAATTGAGTTTAGTAAGAAAATATGATATGGGAGAATAAAGTGGTAAATATATGAATGAATCTAAATAAATACTGACTGGAGAAAACAGCATTAAAATAGTATCTAATTTGGGAGAACATTTTTAAAAAAAATAAATATCCTGGGAAATATATAAGTTTGGAAAATTCAGATTTAAAGTTTTCTAATGCCCTTATATTATTTTAGAAGAGGCTTAAGATAACTTTATATTTTGTTACAGACAGTAATGCTACTCCTCAGTATTTATGATTCTCCTCTCCTTTGGGGAATGTTGGGGGCCTGTACCTCCTTGCCTACTGGAAGTTAGCCTTGGCCATGAAACTAGTTTTGATCAATGAAATATGGACAAAGTACCACTTCCAAGAAGTATTTATGAGTCAGTTTGGAGTATCCATTCTCTCTTCCCTTGCTGCTGTGACCAGTGACTAGACTATTCCTGTTGAACCCTCAACAACCTGTAACCCAAGAGTGAGGATGAAATCTTGGTTCTTTCTGGGAATTTAGGGTTGTTCATATAATATACTTATCCCAAAAGAAACAAGCATTAGTACTGAAAGCAGTGGGGAAGTGTGTACTGAAGGTGAGCAACATGTAATATCAAAATGTTTGGTAAAAAGTCATCTGCCCTAAGTTGGGAGACCTATCATGTACCTAATAAAGTTATATGTGGCTCTAAGGGAAGAAGTTGGAAAACAAACTTTACTAGTGAGTGTTGGTAATTAGCTGCATTTGGCCATTTCCTGGGTTCAGGAAATAATTTGTATGTTTACAAACAGGAATAAAAGGGAGTAGAGAGAATATGAAAACTCATGATGGACTTTCAGAGATGGAAAAGAAAACTTCCTCACCACCCTAAAATGTCAAAGCTAAATGTAAGAAAACCTTTGAGCAACAAAGGCTAATTATAACTCAGCCCTGAAGCAAAGGTCAAATCAGTGTTCATTTATAACTTCGTGAAAACCACTGGATGGATTAAGACCTTCAGGGCAAAAAGCAAATTAAGGGTGTGATATCCAGCAAATTGTTCATTTAGATAAAATCACTCAGAGTAAATAGCTAAAGTATGTGTTCTTCCCAGTGACATCCAATAGACTCAAGTTATCTGATATTAAAGGGGGTGGGGACACAGGAATATATGTCAGATGTGAGAAATAGAACACTCTAAGAAAGCGCACTGATAAAGAAGTGCAGATATGGATCCTGGCACATACAGCTGACTGAAATCAAGTCTATTAAGGTTTGAGAAGTTTTATTGCCAGAGGAAGTAGGGTGACAAAAGGCTGAGAAAACTGCAAGGCCCACAAGGAGATTCTATTGCCCTCTCTTTCAGATGGGGCCAAGAATAATAATACAAAAGGAAGAAATTTCTGAAGGTAGAGTCAGGGCCACAGAGAACAATGGAAAAAGAAGTCCCTTCACTTTCTTCCCACCCCAAAGATGGAGGGCTTTAACCATTTGTGCCCACCAGAATTTCAAAACTGCTATGGACTGGTGATTGCTATGTATCACAGAGTCTTTTCCAAATGTTAGTATTTTTCTATTTATACCATGCCTGTTTCATCACTGTATACTGGGAACATGTAACAAACCCAATTTTTCTTTTTGGCTCAAAGGGTTTATTATCAAGAGTAAGCACATCCAGATCTGTTGCAGAGATTGTTGTGTATCCATGCTACCCTACAATATAGAGGAAACCTGATCCTGAGCTAAACTTTCTGACTAAATGGGAATTGGGGGCAGCTCTCCTTTGAGGTGGGAGTAAGCTTAATCTACATGAGAGAAAGAATGACCCAAACATTTGGTGAGCAGAAAGGCAAATTATGGTCGACATTATTATCTCCTCACCAGTATTTCAAGTTTCCCTTTCCTTCTACTCACATAAGAGGATTGCACTTCCCTGGTCCCGCTAACTTGGGTGTGGTCATGTGACTCTTGTCCAGTGATCTATGGGAAGTGATCCAAGGCAGATGTGTTTAAGCACGACCACAAACTGTCCATTCTCTGATCTTGCTACTATCACTGATGCTCTCAAATGGTCAATCTTCCATCAGCCTATAGTGCAGAGGGAGCATGGAAACCTTTATAGTTCCAAGCCACTAAGAATTTGGGACTGTTTATTCCCAGTCCATAATATAGTCTATCCTAATGGACACTGGTATACAAGTTAAAATATATAGGGAAATAAAAGAATATAGACTATAATTGTAAACTCTTAGGGGAGAAAAAGAATGAAAAAATTAAAATCAATCAAGAAGAAAGTACAATAGAATACAAAAAGGAATACAGAGAGAGAGCAATAGAGGACAGAAAATAATAGGGTAGAAATAATTTTTTTTTTTTTTTAGATTTAATTTATTTGAGAGAGAGAGACAGCTAGAGAGGGAACACAAGCAGGGGGAGTGGGAGAGGGAGAAGCAGGCCTCCCGCGGAGCAGGGAGCCTGATGCGGGGCTCGATCCCAGGACCCTGGGATCACGACCCAAGCCGAAGGCAGACGCTTAACAACTGAGCCACCCAGGCGCCCCTAGAGTAGAAATACATTTAAATGTACAGTTGACCCTAAAACAACATGGGTCTGAATGGCATGCATCCACTTATCTACAGATTTCTTACAGTACAGTACTATAAATGTATTTTCTCTTCCTTATGATTTTCTAATAACATTTTTTCTCTAGCTTACTTTAAGAATATAGTATATAATACATATAACATATAAAATATATGTTAATTACCTGTTTATGTTATTGGTAATGCTTCTGGTCAACAGTAGGCTATTAGTAGTTAAGTTTTGGGGGAGTCAACGTTATAGCAGATTTTTTACTGTGTGAGGGTCAGTGCCCCCAACCTCTGTTTTGTTCAAGCATCAGATCTTGTAAGGTTATCCTGCAATAATAATTAATCCCCAAATCTCAGTGACTTATGGAATCTGTTTCTCACGCATATTGCATGCCAGTCTTTGACTGGCCTTCGATACTCAATCTGGAACCCAGACTGAAGGAATGGCTTCAGTCTGGAACCTACAAGTATGGTGACACAGAAAAACTCAGAATAACATTGTGACTCTACAAGCTTCTACTCAGAAGTAGTACATTTATTTCTACTCACTTTTAATTGGTTAAAAAAAAATCATCATCATTAAGGCCAAGTCTCTTAATAGACTTAGATGTCAATGGGGTTATAATACTTCAATAGGGATAGGCTTAGAAGAGACAGGGCTTGTAAGGAGGGGGTTAGGAAGGGTCACTGACTATGTTGATGATATCTACTATACCAAATATAAAACTGACCCAAATAAATGGAAATTGTCTAAACTATCCAATTTGAAGTCAATGACTGTCAGACTGGATTAAAAATAATCCAATTCTCAAAGAGGGAAAAAATAAAACAAGACGAAATCAGAGAGGGAGACAAACCATAAGAGAGACTCTTAATCACAGGAAACAAACTGAAGGCTGCTGGAGGGGAGGTATGGGGTAACTGGGTGATGGACATTAAGGAGGGCACATGATGTGATGAGCACTGGGTATTATATAAGACTGATGAATCAATGACCTCTACCTCTGAAACTAATAATACATTATATGTTAATTAATTGAATTTAAATAAAAATAAAAAGGCAAAAAAAACTAATCCAATTCTCTGGTCTTTGGACACAAAGGACAGAAAAAGTGTGAAAGTCAAAGCATGGGAAAAACAGACTAGGAAAATATTAAGGAAATCTGGTATAGCAATACGAATACCATACAAAATAGACTTTAAAGCAAAAAAGCATTTCTAGAGATAAAGATGATCACTATATAATGATAAAATTTTCGATTCATCAGGAAAATATAACAATCCTAGACTTTATGTACTTAGTAACATAGTCTCAAAATATATAGACAATTTCACTATCACAGAGGAAGATTTTAACTAATTTCTCATAGTAAATTAAATAGACCAAAAAATAAGAATATAAAGAATCTGAGCAACACAATTAACAAGTTTAATGGAAAGCATGTGTGTGTGTGTGTGTGTGTAAAATACTGTGCTCAACAGCTGCAGAATGTACATTCTTTCCAAGCACACAGTATTTATGACAGTGCATAAAACTAATGTCAGTAAATTTTTAAAAATCAGTATCATACAGAACACATACTTGACAACCATAAAATTAAGTTACAAATCAATAACAAACAAACAAGTAGAAAATACTTCCATGTGTTTGAAAATTTAAAAATTTCTTTGTGGGTCAAAAAGGTCATAATGGAAATCAGAAAATTCTCAGAACTGAATGATAAAGAATGTCATATTCAATACTTGTGAGATGCTGCTAAAGTCTTACTTTGAAGAAAATGGATAATTGTATACTCCTAAGTAAACACAAAAGGCTCAAGATTAATGAACCAAAAGCATTCCAACCTTAGACATTAGGGGAAAAATACAGAACAAACTTTACAAAGGAGAAAAGATATAATCAAGTTTTTTATTAAGAGAGAAATTACATAATTACATGAGAAATCTTGGCCCAAACACAACCCCAGGCTGCCTGTTTTAGACGACTCTGCATATCAACAGCATCTTTTCAGGTCCAAACTCAAAACTATAGAAGAAAAAGGAAAAAAAAATCTGTAAGGGAATGAGTGGCAACAGAAGAGACCAATGGCAGAAGCAAAGCAAGACTGTGGTTTTAGCTGGGTCTAGCCTCAGCCCCAAATCTCCAGGAGCTCCGACGCATACACCACACCATGGTCTTTCCCACCTCAGAGCAGGGGAACGAGGTTTTTGCACCTCCATCTCACGCATGAGGCAGTCACTGCTTACAGGCTGCTACAGGGGTAAGTAGTGCGTAACTTCCAGCTATCTCCTGGTGATGCTGCTCCAGTCTCCTGGAGGCCAAGCCTCTTGAAAATGGTGCGGGTGCATCAGTAGCATCACCTGCAGCCGCTGGAGAAGAATGAGTACACCGAGCCAACAAAAGGAGATCCGGACAGAGCACCACATTGTCTGCTGTGCTCTACCCCCTTGTACAATTCAGGTCACGTGCTTTACACATTAAGTTCACTCCACTCTTTTGCAACTTCAGGATTCCGATTGATCACAATTTCTATGAAAACTTAAAAGAGAAGTTAGTGGGATAAACTAGTCTCCACAGCTACAGTTGGTTCTGAGGTCAGAACTGATACTGATCATTTCCTTTCTTTACTACCCAGTCTATACTCCCCTCACCTTGTGCCAGCACCTCTGCTGGTCTGGGTGGCTTGCACGGTACTGTCTGTCACCTGAGGGGTCTGAGATTTTGGTTACCATGCTGTTGTCTGGCCACGGTTGAGCTCTCCTTGCCAATTTACAGTGAAAACTGAGGTTCAGATTACCAGGAGACACCCCAGTAGTTCACAGGTGTGACAAATATATTCTTCCCTACTATCATTACATAGCAGCAACCCCACCTCCTCATGGTTATCAAAGTCAATTACCCCTTCAAGCAGGGTAACTCTTTTCTCTTCTTGCCAGTCTACTGGTACAATGAGCACAAAATGATCAACGGCAGCCACTGCCTTAAGTTTAGTGGAACTATTAATGTTTCCCCTAGTGGAAGTGTCCCCTTTCCAGAAACCAAGACCTCTAGTTCTTCAACTAAAGAGCCTGAAGTTTCAGAAACTGGAAGCCAAAGTTTCCCAAGTGGGTTGCTGGAACAGAGCCATCCTTCCCACTCCTTGGTTCCCAGCAGTAACAGAGAACCATACAATCATCAGTGGTTCAAGGAAAAAGTAGCCAACTTTTTCTGTAAAGTGCCAGACAGTAACTGTTTTAGACTTTGTGGACCATAGTCTCCGACACAACTACTTAATTCTGCTATCTAGCACGACAGGAGCCACAAACAATACGTAAATGATGCATGTGGTTGTATTCCAATAATATTATGTTTGTAAAACAGCAGCAAGCCTGATTTGGCCTTGGAATCAGTTTGTCAACCTCTGCTTTAATCTTTATGCGGCATCCTGAAGGAATACCTTTGTAGGATATCACCTCCAAACTGTTGCTTCAGCTGTGTTTCTGAGACCATTTCATTGCTCTATCAGGCTAGCAGCTTATGGATGATGTGGGATGTAGGAGGACCAGTTAATCACACAGGCATCTATCCACGGCAGAACTTCTTTTTTCATAAATTGGGTCCTTTGATCTGAAGTGACAGTAAGTGGGAGATCCCATGTCAGTAAATCAGATATCCTGTGAGTCCTTGAATAGAGGTACTGACCAAGTTGACACAGGCAGGAAAAGTAAATGCACACTTGTCAGAATGAATTGCTGCCCCTTCATGGTGGAAGGGGTCTGATGTAATCAAGCGCCACTAAGTGACTGGTTGGTCTCCTCAAAGAGTCACACACTAAAAGGGCTCAGCGTCAGTGTCTGTGGTTGACAGGGAGGGTGGAAGCATCAGCAAGGTCGGTTTTGATGAGGGATGCCATGCTTTTGTGCCCACGCAGAGCCTTCATCTGTGCCACCATGGCTACTCCACTCGAGTCCCTGACCTCAGTACTGTGGTGGCCAGTGACTGTGGCCGGTTGGTACCTGCACTGCAGTCTGGGTAGACGGCAGCCATTCAGGGACTTGTTTGCAAGGGTCTCCTGCCCCTTTACTATCCTACCTGCTATGCAAGCATCAGAGAAGCCTCACATGCAGGGACTAACCAGTCGGGACCTTGACACCAAATGGTCTAGGTTCAGATGCCGGTCAGTCAGATTACCGTCATGGAACATCAGCTGCTTTTATTGTTGTTTTGGTTTTTTTAAGCAGCCTCACTGAGATATAATTTGCACACCATAAAATTCACCCATTTTAAGTATATAATTAAATTAATTTTATTATATTTATAGTTGTACAACCATCATCACAACCTGATTTTAGAACATTTCCATTACCCTAAAAACCCCTCATGTCCATTTATAGCCACTCTCCAGTCTCATTCCCAGCACTAGGAAGCCACACTGTGCGGGAGGTTCTAGCCAGTGAAAGGCAAGAGAAAGAGTTAAAAGTTACAAGGACTGGAAAGGAAGAATCAGAACTGTTATTATTCAAAGATGTAGAGAAAAAAACAACAACTTATAGATAAATTACTGGAATGACAATGTTGTGCGGTTACTATATTTGGAATCAAAATCAAGACATACAAGTCCTTTAAATACACCATCAAAACACAGCTTGTAAAATATAAAACCTAACTGAGAAAAAAGATTTACATTTACAATAGTATATAAAAATGAGGTAGCTAGGAATAACTCTTACCAAAAACGTGTAAGACCTTCCTGAGGAAAACGGTCATACTTTCTTGAAGGACTTCTATAAGTGGGTAGTTATGCTATGTTTATATATACATAGACCCAACACTGCAAAGATGTCGCTTCTCCTCAAATTGATTTATAGATTCAATTCAATCCCAGTTAAAAGTCTAAGAAGTTTTGGGTGTTTGTTTTCTTGGTTGGTGACTAAAGAAGCTGTTTCCAAAACTTCTATGGAAGAACAAAGGTCCAAGAATAGTTAGGACACTCCTGAAGAAAAAGAATAAAGTAGGAATCTTGCTCTATTAGATATCAAGGCTTATAACTAAACTATCTTCATAAGGCCAAATTGTACCTGTCTGGAAACATATAAAAACAGATTGATATATCAGAACAGAGAACTCATATATGCAAACTTGATTTATGACAGAAGTGATAACATGGATCAGTGGGTTAAGAGCCTTTCAATAAATGGTGCCATAAAAATTGTTTTATCCAAATAGTTAGATATGAAATTGGAAATCAATCTGTCACCATCAAATAGAGTTAAATCGTGGATATTGTATGATGAAGAAATTCCACTCCTAAGCATATATGCTGGAGAAACCCTTGCACATTTTCACCACAGCTTATGTACAAGAATGTTTACTGTGCAATATTATACATAAGATCAAAAGATAAGGGGAGAATCCATAAATTATTTGTAATTGGTTCACACTATGGACATATAATACAGTAGAGATAATGAATTCATGCAGCTGTATGAATCCAAACTTCTAAACATAATATCAACAAGAAAACTACCCAAATAGTTTATAGTGCATGATTTCATCTATATTGAGTAAATAAACATACAATACAAGACAATATATAACTTGGGAATATGTATATCTGTAGTTAAAATGCAAAAATAAAATAAGGGGAGTGATAATCAAATATCCAAAACGCCTTGATGCTAAAGTTAGGGTAGGGAACTGGTTTATGCAGGGTGAGGCATGAAATCAGGGAAAAGCACTTCAAATATAGTGGTAACATTCTATTTCTTAGGTTGGGTGATAGGTCTAGAACTTTTTTAAATTGCTGCTTTTAGGGCGCCTGGGTGGCTCAGTTGGTTGGGCGACTGCCTTCGGCTCAGGTCATGATCCTGGAGTCCCGGGATCAAGTCCCGCATCGGGCTCCCTGCTTGGCAGGGAGTCTGCTTCTCCCTCTGACCCTCCTCCCTCTCATGCTCTCTGTCTCTCATTCTCTCTCTCTCAAATAAATAAATAAATAAAATCTAAAAAAATAAAAAAATAAATAAATTGCTGCTATACTTTAAAAAACATTCTTTTGTATGCAATAAACATTTAGTAAAATTGTTGCACATACATTGTTGGGTCCACATGGACCCCTATTCAAATCTGACTTAAATGTGCACAGAGACACCAGGAAGGTATGAAAAGATTTATTAATCATATAATAAGGCTTTCTGGGGAGAACAGGGTAGCTCCCAAGCAGGCTCAAAAATGGCTTGAGAGAGCAGGAAAAGACTGGTTTGAGGTCTTTAGGGTGACTAGGGAGGGTGATTACAGCAAGGGTTTGAAGTTCCACAGGCACAAAGGAAAGATCACTCAGGCTTTCTTATCAGCTTGCCCATATGTGGGAGAGATGGCCAAGAGGGAGAGATGAGGCTTAAAAGATGTCAGTTAAACATCAAAAAATAAGAGTCGCACTCTTCATTACAAAAATATTTTAAACAAAACTGTGTAAGAAAACAAAAGGGATATCTGCCATGTTTGAAGTACTATGTCTGCAGAGAAAAGAATATTACTTCTCCCTTTTAGATACCACTTCTCCCATTCTTCTCCCAGGAATACACCACTAGAGGAGTAACTATGGTCAAACTGTTACACTTGGTAGAAAATTCAAATTCTTTACTATTCCACAGAAGAAACTCAGTATCAAGAGGAATTATTACAGTAACATAAAGTTAGATATCAAGTCCTGTAGAGTGAAAAGAATGGGAATTGCTCATGATGTTTAAAAGTTCCTGGGACTATGCAGTAGTATAAATATCAGCTGGGTCTCTCTGGCACCTGAGCTGAGCCCAAAAGGAATCATTTGCTTTACCACCATGGTAGAGAAGAAATTTTGCAACCTTACACTGACTAACTGCAAATAAGCACCAAGCTTGAAGACTTCTCCTCAAAGAAAGTATTTCATTCCTACTGAAAAGACAGACAATGAATTATAAGTGTACATCAATTTTTGAGACACCCACTGGGTACTGCTGCAGACATGAAGATGAAAAGATTTAATCTGTGCTCTTTAGGGGCTCACAGTT